CGGAAAGTAGCATTCCAATGGTATTTTGTGTGTTAGTTAGCGAAGAGGCTAGCTGTTTTTTCGGAGAATTATTTTACTATTTAAGACGCAAATCTTTATGAGAGATGTCGTTATGGAGCTCAGGGACAACATGTGCTGTTCGCGGTTGTATGTATAACCGGACTAAACTAGTTCAGTGGCTTAAACGTGATTGTTTTGACATAAGCTGAAAACGAAATCAGAGTGTTCCTGCCAACGACTGTAGTTTCCATCACCTCCCAAAAGACGACGAATCTTCCTGTGTACAGTTGTTTAAATTCTTAATATTCTATAAACTTTTATCAGCATGTGTTTGGCTGTTCTCTACTGATGTTGCACCTAAACTCAGGATCAAAGCCTGTGTTGACAGAATACCAAATGTGCCAGTTAATGTATTCAAGTAGCACATTCATTTATAATTTTAACTAAACTCCAAAGCACAATGACTAAGTGTGTATTTTTTATTTTAATTGTTTGTCAGCTCGCACAACTGTCTGTCACCATGCCTTGATGAGTATTGATTATTAATAATGTTATTATAATACTCCCAATCAACTACTGCGGAGGTGACAGGAGGGTAAAGGTACTGTTATTTCACCTTTTTTAATTTTGTTGAGGTTGTGTTCCCACATCGTTAGCTAGTTTGGATCGCTATAACTTGAATGACTGTCAACTGTTGAATGAACGAGTGTCAAGCATGTCAAATCGTGCTTTGTTTACTTCCAACCGGAAATCGCGCCCACTTTTGACGCAAGGCCTCATGGGGCGTAGGAAACTTGTGGATAGACCCTTTGCACGTGACGTCACGCTCTACTCGCGCGAATTCTGAACGCCATGACGGACGGCGGAAGAGCTATTCTGTAGAAATTACATTTCATGACAAAATAACAGTAATATTTATTAATATTTATACAATTTCGCGGACTTTCTCCTCTGCTGTTGACGCAACCTACTATGAAAAGCACTAAACAAATAAAGGTTTTACTTGAAAAGCGCTAAACAAATACTGGGCAACAAACTGCTTTTATCAAGTTATCGCGAGAACATATTTAGATCAGGCTTATTACTGCCATACTATGGGGTCCTAAGGTGGGACTCATCTCTTCAGGCGGACCCATCTCTTCACCACACCGGCAAGCCAAATTAGTACGTGGTTATTTCGTGTTGTGCCGTGGGGTGTGCTAGTAGACGAATCCGACGAGCGTTCTGTGTAGGCTGCCATCTTGTGGCGACGCCATTACTGAGCTGTTACACAGGCATATAGACATATGCACCGGTATGTAAACAAACCTCGGTGATAACGCGAACTCACCTTCGATGACAGCTACAGCCAGGCAGAATGACTTGTTGGTTTGATCTGTGACTGCAGTGGCCTCCAGTCACAGATGAAGGTACAAACGATCTTACAGATTAACGTTATTTATGAAAATAGCTTGGCTAGCTAGGCTAACGTTTGCTAACGAGGAAACTATAAAAAGATCTGTCCATTTGGCAACAATAAATAAATAAATGAATGAAATCAAATAAACAAATTCATGTTTTTCATTTGTGTCCATTATTTATCTCATTTTCACATTGCAACAGGCAAGGGTAAGGTAACGTTACAGCTAGAAAGTATACATAATATCGACCAATTAGTGTTTTTAAACCATGGAAAGAGGTCAATATAACAGCAGGAAAACAATTATGTCACATAACGTTACATTTAGCTCAGGAAAGCCATTTAATGACCATAGCATGTTAATTGAATAGAAAAAATAGCAAGAGAGGAGATTTTGCTGATCACTATATCAATATTTATTATATTTTTTTTACTTATGTCATTAAATAATTGTTATTATACGCGAATGTCCACGTCTTGTACTCGCCTAGGAAATCTGTAAACCGTACGGCACCAGACAGGGGCAGTCGACCCGGGGTATTCACAATGTTTTTTTCTTCAAAATTGAAATTTTACTGCCACCATTGAAACAATTTATAACGGAAACTGTTTACCCACTCGACATTATACAAGGGATAACGTTGTAACGTTAGTGACAGTCGTAAATCGCTGGCTGTTTATTCCACTGGACGCAAGTTGCAACTAAAACAATAGGAGGCAATGGCGCAACGCTACCCAGCAACAGCTCAGTAATGGCGTCCCGCTTACTTCCGGTAGTTTCGCCGGATTCGTCTATAGACAGGGTAAAGCCAATACATCCTTTTATCGCATTCCATTTGATGGGGAGAGAAGGCATCGATGGATTGCTGCTATCAGACGAAAGGACTGGCAGCCCTCCAAGTACTCCAGGATTTGCAGCGAGCATTTTTTACAAGGTAAGAATCATTTCCTAGTTACGTGTAATTCATTTTTTGTAATACCATACCGTCATCCATGTCCAAATGGAGACCCAGTCAAATTGTCATTTAACATTAATGAGCAAGTGCTACCAGCTAGTGTAAGGCTGTGCAGTCTACCCATTCACACTGATCGCCCGTCTCTAACAGTGTCATCTGTAACGTTATCTCATACAAAAAATAAACAATGCAGATTTTGCATTTAAATGTCTATGCTTCTCTCTGATGCTCATAAACTTACGTTAGAGGCAACATAAACATTGTGCCTGTGAGGCTTTTTAACACTACACTTGACAGTTAACGTTAGCTGGCAGCTGGATAAAAACTGTTAAAATACTGACAGGTAAACTGTGTACAAGTTTGTCTGATTATATAGTTGATTTCCAAAGTGATTGTGAATTACCCCTTTCCCATCCAGAGTTTGTTTTTGTCATTTAACAGGAATTTACTGAACAAATAGAAAATGGATGAAGTGTCAGGATAGTTATATGGGCTGGGACAATGGTTCTAAGCTCCCTCTTGGTGGTACTCTCAGGCAGTTGATTTCTTTTATCAGGAAAGAAGAGTGATGACCCTTTATCCCCTGATTATGTGCCGTCAGTGTTTGCGCACACCAAGTCCCCTGAGAAGCGGCGAGCCCTGGGCAGTCTAGGGAAGTATGAGGTCAGAGAGGCAATGAAGAAAAAAAAGCGTCAGGAGTCATCCAAACGTGAAGCTGCCAGGGCACTTCTCAATCTGTCAGCTGAATGTTTTACATGAGGTTGAGGACGAGATTGTAGAGGAGGCGATTGTAGAAGAGGCTAGTATCAGTGAAACTAATGGCAAATGTGATGCAATGTGCCAAACCAACCTCACTTCAGACTACATTGAGTCTCTTGAATTTGAGTGTCAGCAACTCCGGGGTGATACGTTTGCTCTGAAGGAGAAGCTGAAGCCCTCAGACCTGGAACAGAGCACTTTTGAAAACAGCGACAAACTTAAAACCTTTACAGGACTGCCCAACTATAAAGTGTTTATGGCTGTGATTGACTTAATAACTCCCTTACTTAAGAATACAGCAAACATCACCATCTTCCACCAGCTACTGTTGACATTAATGAGGATCAGGCTTAACCTGCCGATTGCTTTTTTTGTCATATCTGTTTGGTGTTCATATGTCCACAATTTCAAGAGTTTTTACAAATGTCATTAATATACTAAATGACAACTTAGTACCTGTGTGTGTGGTATGGCCTGACAGAGATGATGTCCAAACATCTCTGCCAATGTGTTTCAGAAAGTCTTTCAAGCAATGCATGTCAGTAATAGACTGTTTTGAAATTACCATTGACAGACCTAAAGATCTGAAGGCAAGGGCCCAGACATACTCTCAGTATAAATCACACAACACCATAAAATACCTAATAGGTATAACTCCACAAGGGATAATCTCCTTCATCTCCAAGGGCTGGGGTGGGCGGTCAACTGATGCTCACATTACAGCAAACAGTGGGTTTTTGGATAATCTCCAACCAGGAGACTTGATCCTAGCAGACCGTGGCTTTAGGATTCAGGAACAAGTTGCCTTGTACTGTGCAAGGGTTGAAACTCCTGCCTTTACACGGGCGAAAAAACAGCTGGGCGCTGTCGAACTGGAAGATTCCAGAAAACTTGCAGCAGTCCGCATACACGTTGAGAGGGTAATTGGTCAAGCACGATCCAAGTACAGAATGTTGCATGGACCTGTGCCCATTAGTCTTCTGATTAAGTCATCAGAAGAAGAGGAGTTCACTTCTCTTGACAAAATAGTTAGAGTGGCTTGTGCCCTAACGAATCTGTGCCCCTTAGTGGTGCCAATAGATAAGCTGAAAAAAAACCCCAGTTATTCTTTAACAGAGAGGTTTTTAAGTTTTTTGAAAGCACTTTGAGTAACAATTTCCAGTGTAAATAGTTGTACTAGCACATTAACAATCAATTCTTTACTCATCCATTAAAATCAGCTGAAATGAAATGAGTTAAGTTATAAGTTGCATAGAACCTATATTGGAAAAAGTAAAAATTGTCATGTGTCAGTTCCCTAACACATTCACACTATATTTAATTGAAACATGCAGGACAAACATTATAAATCGCAGTTGAAACACGTCTATTCAGACAAGCTTTTAATATGTAGCTTCCGTCCTGTTTCAACTGCTATTTTATCTACTCTTATGTTTTTATATATTGTTGTTTATTGATGTTTTTACTGGAAAGCGCCTTGTGCACATTTTGGTTGATGTAAAGCGCTCAACAAATAAAATTTGATTGATTGATTGATAAAAGAAGTTGTATATGAGTGTACATTATGTAATTTAGGTTGGCTTTTATAAACGTGTTGAAAGATGTTTTTTGTAAAATAAACCAGCGCTCAACCTTTTGACCGTCCTGTTGTCCCTTATAAAGGATATTAAATGTATGTAGAATTACACACGGGCAAATCTTACTAAATAATTCAATTCAATTTTATTAGTAGTATCAAATCATAACAAGAGTTATTTCGAAAAACTTTACAACTAGAGTAGGTCTAGACAACACTATAATTTACAAAGAGCCAACAATTCTCGTTGTTCACTTCGTTTTGAAACAACACCCTACTACTCTGTGGACTGTGTTTTTGTCTGACAGCAGTCTATCTGGACATGTATACGTCTTAGCCAATAACTCGGATAAAATGGCTGACCTATAGAAAGACTCGACATTCTGCACTGCTTCTGTAAAAAAGTCAGCATCAGGAAAAATTCTCTGAATGAAAAAATCAGATGTAGACCACACCATGAAGTCACAAAACTTCCACCTCGTAACAAAGAACTGGGCTTGCACCTGGTAGTGGTATTGATGATCTCTGTTAAGTGCATGTGTACCATCTGTGTTCTCAATGCAGAAATGTTTCTTTTCAGTGGCACTGAGGACTCCGGTGTCTTTGGCACAGTGTGGGCACTTGATTTCCAAAATACCATCGCCACAGCAGGAGCAGGACACCAAGGCATCTGGAGATGCTCCAAGGTAGGGACGGGAGGTATCAATGTGGAGACCGGCATCACGAACACTTAGGTCTTGATGATGTTGTGCAGCGTACGCCTCATACGTTTCTCTGGCTTTTTGTTCATGTTCACATCCCCATCTGTAAATTAGAAAAATAATGTTATTAAGTCATCGTAACTCTTTGAGTGCTCTTTTCATTGGATTTGTTCTCTCATTTCCTAAGAACTATAAGTACTATAGATGTCAGTACCCAAAATTGGCCTAATTTTAATAGCACATAATATTCTCTTGTATCATATTCTTATTCTATCATAGTCGTTTACAAATATGTGAATTAAATATAACAGGAATAGGGATGCACAATATTAGATGTTGGCCAATATTCGATATGCCAATATTTTGGCTTTTTGATTTCATTGAAATCAAATAAATGTCTCTCTCCTGTACTGCCTTTATCTTATTACACTCATGTGTTGTAGATAAGGCAATACAAAAGACAAACAACATTTGATTCTACCATAAATATATAATTTTAAAAATGTATACAGACATTCACCCCTGAAAAATAGATCAATTATTTCACTTAGAATAAATGAGGAGAATAAGTGATATGCCTGTGCCACAATTTGTTTTTAAGTTCAGACTTCAAACTTCAGTCCTTAGGAGTAGGGATGTGACAGTGAAGATAAATTTCACTAATTTAAAGGCAAAAGTAAAATGCGCGTTTGCACGGGCATGCATTATAGGGATAGCTCACTTTGAAATTAATTAGTTTTATCTTACCTCAAACGAACAATATTTATATCGTTTTTACCTTGTGTAGCCACAGCCACATCCAAGTGATCTGAATCAGTTATCCAATGTCCAACTGGACCGAACTGAACCGTGTCCAACATTCCGTCGGTAGTGATCGCTTGCGCATGTACGTCACTTATTGTTTACACAGAGATTTCGGAAGTTTTACTATTTCGATATATCTAAATATGTTTAGTGAAAGGTAAAACGTCCAAAATCTATGTGTAAACATTGAGTGACGTACACACACAAGCGATCACTACCGACGGAACGTTGGACACGGTTCAGTTCGGTCAAGTTGGACATTGGATTGGTCTTAGTCCATCAATGTGTACTTACATTTACGAGTCATTAAATCATGTTTAATTTGGACTTCTCTGTGCATGCTCTGAGGTGGTGACCATAGACCTCCATTATATGCCTGACAGACAAGAACGGTTTGACCGAAAAATGTCAAAGTTCAAAATGCTGTGGAAATAAAGACACCTACATCTTGGATGCCCTTGAGGTAAGATATAAAACACATCAAAAATTAATTTCAAAGTGAACTATCCCTTTAATGGTGGTTGCGTAGCAGCACTGTTTTGTTATTGTGCCTTGAATTGGCGCTAATTTGAAAACAATTTTTTTTACATCGCTTATAAAAAGCTGTTGCGGCAGTGTGCACTTCACTCTCTATGTTAATTTAAAACTTTATTTAAATCATTTAAGACTGATCTTATGAGGACACTCAACAAAACTGACATTTTGGCATAATTTGTACGTGTTATGTTTTATTCAAGCCTGAAAGAGAATTCGAAACTGACGCGAGTCTTTTTTTCCACACAGCTGGCATGTTGGAAGTTTAAGTTATTAAAAATAGGTAAGGGCACTCAAAGAGATTGAGGGATGCATGTTTGTAATTTAATGTTGATAATTTGTAATACTGACTGCAATACATTTTCCAATGATAAACATTTCTTTGTCTTGTGTTTGTTTCTTTGATGTTTTTTTTTTTTTTTTTAAGAAAGCTGGGGCCCTCTACATTAGAACACAACATGTATACATTTCCATTGTTGAAACATAAGTTCAAAGCACATCTTTGTTTGTGTCATTATGTCACACATGCCTGGTTGCAACTGTAGAAAATCTGCATAGGTCAGGGTAACAGATCTGCCTAATTAGGGATTTTGAAGGATTTGTAGGGTCTGTCCTTGCAGCTGACTTGAACCTAGATGCCGTCACCCTACCAGCCCTCATGTCAAACCATAGCCTTGACTTTCCCTGTTGTCGTGTCTCTTCCTCAACTCTTACTGCCTACAACATTGTCAATTATACAAGATGAAATTAATGACATGACACCTTCAAGCACATTTTAGTCATATGAGATTAAGAGGGATGACTATACCTGCTCTGGTGTGACTTCCATATCATTAAATACTGCATCACATTTCTTCTCAAGGTCCGAGGCAGACAGCTTCCGGTTCTGAGCACTGTATAACTCGGTCAGGGGATGTGGTAGACCCAGAGACACCACCTTTGGTTGAAACTGTTTACAGTAGTGCGGCAATATGCGTAGTATACCACTCTTCTCAGAAGGGTTTGGAGTTGCATTATCCAGAGCCTTGTAGAATTGTTCTATAGCTGCTGCAGACACACACTTTTCCCAGAAGGACAACCTGAATGGCTTTGGTTGTTTACACCACAACGCTTTTTGGCAGGATTTGAGAAATCAATTCCTGACCCTTCTTCGTACAAAGCCTTGCCTGCTTTCAAAGGAGGAAGTCCCCACTGTCTGGGCCCATCAGTGCAGCTTTTGTCTCCCAGATGTTTGACAGCAGAGTCTATTGCGTACAGCAAAGCTGTTACGTGGGAGCACACCTCTCCCAGGCCCGCTTTACATGTACATGGCCACACAAAACTGTCCCATCCTTCTTCAAAGATACCCATGGTTGAAGTTGGGTTTCAGACAGTGACTGGCTATGATGCACCTACAATTACAGAAAGTGGCATAAATACATTATTCTTACATGTATGTTATTGTTTACTTCTGCAGTGACACCATACATGCACCTTGTGGATACATCTTAATCACAATGCTGTTTAACAGGCCAAATTTTAACATAGGCTACAGTGAATATCACAGATATAGATGGCTAGATGTTACAATTATGTGTGCCTACTGATCACACTCCGTTGTTTACTGGCTATAATGCACCTACATTAAAAAGTGCCATAAAAACATTATTCTTACATAAATGTTATTGTTTACTGTTGCAGTGAAACCATAAATGCACCTTGTGAATACATCTTAATCACAACGCTGTGTTTACCAGGTCAAATTTTAACATAGGCTACAGTAAATATAACAACATAAAGATGGCTAAATGTTTCAATTATATGTGGCTATTACTGATCACGGATACTCCGTGGTTTACTGCATGGATTAAAGTGTGATCGATCATTAATGACTGCACTTCCCAGAGCAGGGATGCGTCCAGGCCTTTTTACAGTCTATGGTCCAGGCATCCATTTAAAAGCCACGGCCGACAATGTCCTCTAAAATCATAGGCTACGTGTTGTATAAATATTTACTTAAGTAAAAAATAGATATTAATACAAAATAAACCATATATTGATGTCTTACCTTTGCCATTATGAGGTAGCTCCCCCGCCGTTAGCGTAGCATCGCGTACCTGTTACCCAGCCAGCTACAAAGAACTGGTAAGCATCCAGACTTTTAAATGCTTTGAGATCAGCTCCCGTGTATGGCGATACCCCGTTTACCACATAGTGGTACAAATCGTGTGGGCCGAAGTCGGGCAGATCCGGCGATTTAATGAGCTCCGTAAAAGCTGAGGGAGGAAGAAGGTATGGGTCGGTATCCAAACCTGCGATCTCTAACTTCTCCAAATACCGCTCTTTGTGAGGACCTAGCAGAATGCCCTACCTCGACCGATAACGGCACGACAACTTTTTCAGTAGAAGCCATGCAGTTTAGTGGTATCTTATCTATACTAAGTTAAACTGTTTTAAAAACTAATCAAATTTCTCGCTCATCTACTACTGTGTTTTAGCCTGTGCATCCAGTGATGTTGCCGTCCAGCATGGCGTCGTCACGTGGTCGTGGTCACGTGGTTGCAAAGGGTCTATAGATATGTCAGGGGTGCGCGCTCTAGAGCGTCAGTCGACTTAAGGGTTAAAGCATGCTTTTAGTGCAGGCAGGCTAGAGAGGATAACTTTTTACTCTTCGTGTTCTGTTATAGATAAACACACTGATACATACAAACATCTTAATACAAGCATAAAATGGGCTAACGTACCTTCCAAAGCACACCGGCTGCACGGCTACAGGAACGTCCAGATCCGGCGAATCGGCGATACAGGTACACATCTCCCGTCTTGGTAACCAAAACCCAGGCGTTATGCGCTGAATTGTTAACGGACTGGCTTGATTGAACATAAATTAAACTGCCCAAGTGTAAAAGTACACAGCCCACTTTGACGGAATGGAGGTACTGAAACGCCTCTGAGCCTTTCAGGTTATTAAATGCATTCCCGTCCACCGCCATGGTCCATGGAAATTGGAATCAATAAAAATAAGAAAAGATCTTGGATGTTGTGATGCTGGGCCATATCGACATGTTGTCCGCCCATAATGTTACCTTACTTGGATGCGGAATGGTCAAAACACCATTTTTAAAACAAGATTTTCGGTCGAATGTTGCCATTCCAAAGCCGTGTTTACACCACTACTCAGCCTGCGCCGGATGTTCTTGGCAGAAACAGGAAGTAAACCGGAAGTGCCCGGGAAACTTGTTTTTTTTTTTTTTTTTTTTTCAATTTTTTAATTTATTGATAACAATAACTAGTACAAACAAGAAGAACATCAATATACAATCAAGCATTTGTACAGACAAAACCATACCAAAAACAGAAGCAAGAAAAAAACAAAAACAAAACAAATACAAAATAAATAAATAAATAAATAACAACAACGAAAAGAAACACATACATACATACATACATAGTAAATGAAAGAGGAAAAAATAATAAGATGTTAAGAGGATTGGGGAATAGGTCAAAATATTGAGAAACAAGTTTTCTGTTCTTCTTGTTCTTCACAAGTTCGTGTGATTTAAGAAGCAAATTAAGTTCCAAAATAAAGTGTTTAAAATATAGGGAAGACTTATTAAATTTCTGTTTGTGTATAAAAAACTTAGCATATAAGATTATAAAGTTTAGGACAAACTCTAGGGTGCCATCTTGTGGAAAACAAGAGTAACAGATAATATCTTTCAGGGTGAAAGAGTGAGTTATATTTCGAGAATGGAGAAAATGAATACCTAAATCATCCCAAAATTTTTTGGTAACTGGACAATTAAAAAATAAATGAGGAATGGTTTCAGTGCTCTGTTTACAAAAGGTACAACATGTGTCAATGTCTAGAAATTTGGCAACAAAACAATTTGTAGGGGTAAATATTGTGTAAAAGTTTAAAGTGGACCTCTTTTAGCCTTATTAGAGATACAATATTTGTGAGGAATCAACCATGTTTTTTTCCAATTAACATTAACTTATTAAGGAATTCCAATAAAACATCCCCTTGGAACAATGGAGTTACACTTTTGCCAGATGTCGGCGAATGTGTTTTCTTATTACACTTTTTATCAGACAGTTCTACCCCATCCAACATAGAGAAAAACTCTCTGATATCTTTGTTTCCATAGCTCAGATGATATTTCATTAATTGTCTGATTCCACTTAGGGATGGCATCAGTGATGGATTTAAATTCTTTAAAGGGTACTGGGAAATCGTGAGCTACCATAAACTGTTCATAAGAGAGCATGGAGCCAGAATCATCAAATAAGCAGAGTATATGGTTAATACCTCTATCGAACCACTTAGGGAAGAATACTGATTTATTCCTAATAAGAATGTCGCTGTTGCTCCAAGAAGAGATTTGTGTGGTGAGAAGTTGTGACTGAAAGATAATTTCCAGGCCAAGAGGGACTGGTTTGGTGGAAGTTGGACAATTTGATAGGTAATTTATTTTGGCAGAAAATTACACCTTAAAAGAAACGAAAGCCCACCCAGTTTATTAAAAAATAAAAATTTGGAATAAAGAAAAAAATCGAATCAGGATTTTGAATGCACCTTTTTAACCAGTTAACTTTGAATGTATTGACTACATTTATAAAATCCAAAATCTCTAGACCTCCCTTTTCTTTAGGGTTAGAGAGAACATTTTTTTTAAGCCTATGAGACTTGTTCTTCCAAATGAAATCTAAGAAAGTCTTGTTGACTTGATTGGTAATGGAGTCCTTTACAAAAAGAGACAAGGACGGATAAACAAAGCGAGAAAGGCCTTCTGCTTTGGAGAGTAATACTCTACCTAAAACAGATAAGTCTCGAGCGCCCCTCGGAAACTTGTGGATAGCTGTTCTGACGACAGAAATATAATGATTAACATAACGGTTGCAAATAAATTATTTATTTTTTATTTTTACTTTATAAAAATCTGTTAAAATATCCGTTTTATGTATCTGTATGTCAGTGCCATACATTACCTAACATTTTTAGGAAACCTTTCTTATGAAAATTTAAACATAAAATGAAACTATTTGTATAGTGTAACTGATGTATTAATATCTTGCCTTCATGTTCTTCTAGATCTTTTTTTATTTATTTAGTTTAGTTTTTAGATCATTGTTCTTTTCTCATTTGTATTGTGATGACATTGAACATATTGTTAACACATGTTGTATATTGTACACAAGATGTATGACATAATAATTTGAATCTCGGTGTTTTGTGGGGGGAAAGTCAAAAGAAATTAAATAAAACAAAGTAGAATTTTGAGTAAGCAAGGAGTATAGACGAACTATGAAAAAATATAATAGTATAATATTATTTATATATACAATATTATTTTAATAGTATAGTTTATTTATAAAAAAATATAGGCTTTGACTTCTTGTCAATAAAGGTTTTTTGCTGTAAGCACGTCCTGTGGTTCCAGTCGGGTCCGTCACTTATTTGGTTCCCCGGAAACATTTCCGTTGTGGACCGGGTTATTTGCAGCGCGTTTCTGTATTTGGTTGTGTAGTGAGTACTTGGAGCACACGTGTGTTGTGGAACTGGTGAAGATGTTTTTCTTAATTTGCGGATGTTTTTTTTTTTTGTATTTGCACGCGTTTTCATAGTTGCACACGTTTCTTTGTATTTGCATTCGTCTTCATCAGGTTGCAGCGCGGTGAGGTCTCTCGGCCACCGTATATTTATCCCTTTAACTGACTTCTCAACCAAACGGTTGAGCATATTTTGAGGATGAAGCCTTGGCCTCGGAGAGAGGTCGTCAGGTGGTCCTCAACCTTCACTGGGTGTTTTGACCCTTAACCACAACAACCTCCAGCTGGCGGGTCAGAAGTGACTGGCCAGGTCACTGCCCCTCTCTTCCAGGCTTCCAGCTTATGTCCTCTCTCTTGTGCCAGAGCCAACAGAAGGCTCTCTCTGACGCATCTCCCAGCCTACGAATGGCTGCTTTCCTTAAGTGCCCCCCCAATCTAACCTTTGTTAATAAATTCCATGCAGATTGAGCAGGGAATCCCTGACATCCGACTTCATCCGTCATCAGCCACGCCATCCACCATTTGTCCCGGCAGTCTTGAACTATTTGCTGGAATTTGGCCTTTTTCCTCTCTGCAACTTCCTCACAGCCCTCCTCCCACGTGTTCCTAGACCCTGTCTTAAAGTGCAATGGTTTCTGATGATATCTTTGGTCATGAGAGAACATTCTGTCTGGGTAATTGCCGTGCTGGTAGCCCACTTACAGCTAGATCTTGTTCTTACTCCTGCTTCCCTGGTGAGTTGGTCTTGAGAGTCCCTATATGTCAGGGACTGTCTACATTTGGCGACTTTAAACTCCTCCACCACTGAAGCTTTGGGGTATTCCCAACCATTTTCTAAAGTGCTTGTTGAACTTCCTCTCCATATTTTCAACAGTTGATAGAAGCACCTCGTATACCGTGAGAAACCACATGAGTCTCGGGAGCAGGCCATGTTGGTAGATCCAGCACTTGTATTTCCCAGGCAGACCAAACTTGTCAATCTTTTTCAACCATTCTTCAACCTGCTTTCCTGTGCTGGAGATGCTGTTCCTGTCTGACAGGGAATCATCATACCACTTTCCAAGGCATCTTATTGGGTTCCCCTGGATGTTCGGGATCTCTTCCCCTTCAACAAGTAGCTTGAACTTTCCAGTTGTTTTGCCCTTTTGGATCACCAGGCTCCTTGATTTTTTTGGCTTGAAGACTATCTTTGTCCAAGTGGCCATACGATCCAATTCTGTCAGGACCCATCTTGCCTCCTGCACGTGAGTTGGTGTTATCACGGTAAAGTCATCCATGAATGCCCTGATTGCTGGCTGTTGACATCCTTCTGCAGTCTTCGGCCCTCTTGACTTTGTACTCGCTGCAGAGATGATCAGGTTCATTCCCATGATGAACAAGATGGGAGAGATTGTGCATCCTGTCACTATCCCCTTCTCCACTGGCTGCCACTTTGTTGTAAACTTGGCAGACTGAAATCGTAGCTTGATGTCTCTCAGGGAACTGGTGATCATGCCCTGGATGTTATGTGGGATGTGGTAGTAGTCCAAAGCAACTTGGATCAAATTATGGGGAATAGACACATACACTATGCATTTGCAAAGTCAAGCCAGACAACTGTTAAGCTTCCTTTCTTTTCCTTTGCTTCTTGGATGAGTTGGCTGAGGACCCTTGTATGCTCCAAGCACCCGGAGAACCTTTCAAACACCACCCTTCTGGATAGAGGTGTTAATATATCCATTCTGGTCATGTAAGCAGTCATTCTCTTCGTAAGTACAGCAAAGAAAATCTTTCCCTCCACACTAAGTAGGGAGATAGTTCGGAACTGGCTGATCTGTGTGGATCCCTGTTCTTTGGGCACAAAGCACCCTTCTGCCCTTCTTCAGCTTGTTGGAATGGTTCCCTTGGACCAAATGGACCAAATTTGGAATGGATTTGGAATTTGGATTTGGAATGGACCAAATCACCCGCATAAGCTTCCATAGCCTTTGGAGGAGCTTGGGGCATTTTTTGTATACTTTGTAGGGTATACCACTGGGACCTGGAGCAGAAGATGATCTTGCATGCTTGACTACCTCTTGAACCTCTCTCCATGATGGGCACTCTGTGCTGAGGGTGAGAGGACAGAGGTTCAAGAGGTAGAACCTCTATACCTCTCTCAGTAGGTGGGTCGATGTTAATAAGCCCATGATTTCCTTCCAGGGCATTGTCTCTTGTAGGGTCACTGAACAGCTCCTCAACAGACTCCTCCACCACCTCCTTGGAACTTGTTAGAGTCCCAGACCTCGCCTCTCCCAGAAGTGATTTGGTGAAGCGGTAAGTGTCCTTTATGAACTGGGCTGCTCCTTTATGAGCTTCCTGCTTCTTCAGCCTCTGCTTGAACCTCTCAGCTCTTCTTGTTCTGATGAGTTGCTCACGGAGGCTGGATGTAAGCTCTTTTATTCCTTCCTTTTCTGACATGGATATCAGAAATAAATAAATCACCCCAGCCATGTGAACTGTTTTTGGAGAAATTTTGCAAGCTAAGCATATTTTTTTTTTACATATTACACTGTAAGAGCCTTAACTTTACAAAATGATGTTACTTGGTGCTATGAAAAAACTTAAAGGTCCCCTGACATGGGTTTTTTGTATTATTTTATAATGTTTCCTGGGCTGCCCTTATAATGTTAGTATGTTTTTTAGATCAAAAATAGTTTAGAAATAAAAGGCATTTTTCCTAGCCTGATTTTAGCCTCTGCTTAGAACGGTCTGTTTGAAGGGGTGTGTCTGCTGTGGGACTCAATGTAACCGCCCACTGCTGTGATTGGCTGACATGCTTGCACATGAAATAGCTACATATTACACGTGAAACTCTCTTGAATACGTTTTACTACAGCTATTATACGTTTTTACAATTACAGATATCGAGATTACTGATTCATGAGAAGTTTTTGAAGTATTTAGATTCTCATCACATAAAATGTTGCTGTGATGAGCAGCAGATGACAGTCTGTCGATCGCGAGAATGAAGATCTTATTGTATAACGCAGTTTCTGCACTCTCTGCTTTCACCAATGCAGACACGGTGATGTACAGCAAGAGCTTCGTTGTGCAGTGTAACGCAGTTTATGTTCTCTCTAAAGCCCGGCACTCGTCCGCTCTCGTCGAGGTGAAAAGCTGCACTTGAACTCACCGAGAGAACAGCAGCCGACTGTCAGCTATAGCCTAATGTGCGTTCTGCGCCTGCATTTAATGAGCCAACTGTCTATTTCTGCTAATATATTAGTCTATATTCGTCATTCAAAAAGGAAAACTGACGCTGCCGGCTGCAGATACACACAACGTAAACAAAGCAGCGCGTGCTTACCGTTTTGAATATCAATCGTTGAGTTGAATTTCCAGAGTTGAATCGTTGCATTTCCAGAGAAAATAAAATTAACCCATTGTTTCTTCAGAGGTGCAGATGAAGCAACTAAAAAATACTTTTGTGTTCATTTGTACATCCGAACACTGAGAAACTGCCATGCTTCGCTCGTTTGCAAGCCATGATATTTCTCGAGGAAAAACTCAAATCTCAAAGCTAGGCTATTTCTCTAGGAAAAAATAAAACCGCGCCTGCGCGTGTTCGTACTTCCTGTTCCTAGCTCGTTTTCTCAGTCGGGCCAAATTCTCTGGGCGGGCAAAGCAGAGAAAGGGGAGTAACCTTTCCCCTATATGACGTTATATAGTGGGAGATTCTAGATCAGCGCGTCTGAGATGCAGACGGATGCAGAGAAGCGAAAAATAGCCAACACCGATTGAAAATTCTAGACACGAGGGGACCAAATACAGTCTAGGCTAGGGGAACTCATATTAATGTTAAAAAACCTCAGAAAATGAAAATTTAATGTCAGGGGACCTTTAAGTATATTTTTAATCATTTTTCAAAAACATGCTCAACCAAACAGTGGATCTGGCACATAACGGTTAATTGTCATCCCCCTTTTTGAGAATGGACTTGTACTTGGTTGTAATTCAAGTATGCTTTGGAATAAATACCTAAGTTTAGTCTTGTTTTAAAGAAAACACAGCTGATTAAAAAAAATATAAGTATTTTTTATAAAAAATAAAAGTATGAAAAAGTTATGGAAGTTTTAAATTTACATTAAAATCAAATGTACAAAATATTTTTTCTTTTATATAAAATATATATTTTACAAAATATTTTTTCCTATAAAATTACTATAACATCAAAGCCATATCTAACCAAACTGTGTTCCAAATTTGAAGTTGATATCACAAAAATTGAAGTTCTCATGAGATTTTGTTTAGGCGTAATACCAAAAATGACATAAATTCCATTGAATTTGATTGTATGCATTCTGCTGTAACAAATTAAGAAATTTCTGTCCAAATATCACTTCTGTTACAAAATATGGAACCTTGAGACTCAGACCTTTCTGACAATGTGTTTTGTCAAGACTAGAAAAGGTTTTGATCATAAATTATGATGGGCAATGAAAAGTATGGCATGTGTATGAATTCCAGTACCATTTATTACCATTAAGTAGCATCTCAACCATTTGGTAGAGGCTGATAAAATTATGGGATGTGTTGAAAAAAAAATAGATTGAGTGTGGTTACTAACAACATAAGAAAATAAGAAATGCAAACAAAAAAATTTTGCAAGCTAAGCATATTTTTTTTACATATTATACTTGGTGCTATGAAAAAACTTAAAGGTCCCCTGACATGGGTTTGTTGTATTATTTTATAATGTTTCCTGGGCTGCCCTTATAATGTTAGTATGTTTTTTAGATCAAAAATAGTCATAATTTAGAAATAAAAGGCATTTTTCCTAGCCTGATCACTTTTTCTTGGTGAGGACTTCAAAGGGCTAAACTAGCATTTTAAAGAGCATCATAGGTTAAGCAGATGGGCAATAGAATGATCTTTGTCAAGTGTTTTTTGGCAGATTTAGGGTCAATGGCAAACATCTTTAACGACATAGTTAAACGACAATAACTCAGCAGGATTAACTCATTAACATCGTCAGTATGTGTTATGCTCTGTTCCTGCTCTGAGCTTCACATTATGGTGAAATGAATCTGAGGAGCTTCTTATATATCTGTCCAATTCCTTTAAGTTGCATGGAAAGCGTATCCTCAAGTTGCTCCAGAAGATCTTCAGCTGGTTGCCCTTAGTGACAGTAATCGACCACCGGGTGCTGATAGTCCATGGAGGAATCTCAGATACCACTGAACTCGCTCTGATAGCTCGAGTGGACAGACACAGAGTGAGTCAAACAAACAGTTACATGTTGGAAAATCCTGAACATCTCCTCTTTTAACTGATCAATATGACTGTTGTCTTTCTATAGTATGTGTCTGCTATGAAGCCCCCGAAGAAGAGGACTCCATCCCGCAAAAGTTTATATGCAGATTCAGACAATTGTAATGAGATGATCATCTGTCAGAACAGAAGGGGCTCAATGACCTTTCCCAAAACGTTTGCTGCTCGGGACAGTTTCCAGAGACGCTCCCTTCAAGACTTTTCAAAGACTGTGGCTCGGACGGTTGAGGAGGAGTTTGAGGTCCGTCGTAGGCAAGCAGAGTTTAGCATGTCCAGGTTCAGCCAGTCTCACGGCGTTCTGAGCACTGCTCCGTCCTGTGAGTCTGAGCCAGACTCATCTGAGCTCATCGACACCAGCGATGATGATTGGAAACAGGTGGGCGTCATTGACGGTATCTGCTTTGGTACATGTTTGTGGTTTGTTTAGTAGCTACTAAAAACTAAAGTACTAGTAATAAGTTTAGTTCTAAAACAGTTAGGTAACACTCTATTTTAAGGTTACACGCTACTACATATAGTATACTACATATAATAATGCATAATTTACTGTTATTACTAGTATGTTATAACCAATTAACCCTAACTCCAGTGCAAGTACATTAATAAGTACATTAATAGTAAATTAACATTACTCAGTTCTTATTTGAGGAAGTACAATATAACTATGTCACCTTAAAATAAAGTAAACCAGTTATATTCTCAACCATTTTGAACCCTTTCCAGGCCACCCATTGCCCATAAAATTATTCAAATGGCCCATGACTTTTCTTATTGTTTGTGATTTACTGGATAAGGATTAATTAAAAATATATATTTCTACTCAATTTCTAAAATTTTTGAGCTTGACATAACTAAAATAAATTCATGTTCATAAAATGTATCCCAAGGAGTTTTGATATTGGATTAATTTAAATGGCTTAAAATCACACTTTCATAGGAGGTCAAATAAAATAAGAAGTATGTTGTTTTTAGTTGGTCTTAGTTGGATTTTATTTGGTCTTATTTTGATGCTTGTTTTGTTTTTATTTAAAATTATGTAATTTTGAGGCCCCTTAGTTGGCTCTGGTTCACTGTTTGAGATCCACTGTACTAATTTGATAGTTGTTGTGAAGTTTTGAACCAAATTCATTCATTAATTTAATTAATTCATTAGTTTCAATTAATTCTTCAGTGTATGAAAAAAACAAATGGCATTTGGAGTATTGTACTCATATTACAATTGAAGTCTTTTGGATAAGACGTTGCACAAAAATAAACATTAAAGGGACACTATGCAACTTTTGGCCCTCTAAAGGTTAAAAAACAAAACTGCATGCTTTTTGTGGAAGAACATTGTTTTGTTTGTGCCTCGGCAGTGGTTATACTGCTTCTTGTACAACTGCTCGTTCACTAAGATCTAACCAGTTTAGAAGGAAAGGATCTCAAGCTGACTAACTGAAGATGTTAATGTAGCTATAACCATTGATAGACATGGTACTTCCAGCACAGTGCTACAACAACCACAATGATATGATCCTTCACAATAGATTTGCTTTACACTGAATTCCACACACACGAGTGAGTGACAAATATATGCAATTTCCTGAGAAAACCATCCTGACAGGTCTAAGTGTACGATTACACAACAACAATATGTTGTTTTTCCTTTGAGTTTTCAGCGTACAGACCACACCATTGTCAAAACGATCCCTATTCACACGTATCAGTGAAAAATTCTAAAAGCACTGTATTCTGCTGCCAGGCCATTAAATGGTGATGAAACACTATAGACTGAACATGTAATACGCACATAAACAGTAAAAGAAATGGACACAGCGACCCAATTGATTTCAACGGAGAAGACTGAAACCTGATTATTGCACTTCCTGTCTGATGTCTGAGTGACTGTGCTGGCTCAAACTGAGCTTGACGATAGTCTGGCAGTTGTAAATCTTCTAGTAGCTGTGCCAAGACAAATCTGAATCACCTAATTCCTCAAAAACGTTGTTGAAATATTTTGTCCTGTTGCTTTTATGGACTATCTATCTATGGGCTTCTCCCTTGACTTTGTGCCTCCATGTCCCCCCGATTGCCTCATAGACTGTAAAAGATTGCCTGCGAGCTTTTCTCCTGTCTATACGGTAATGTCTCTATTGTGCGACAGAATGTCCTGTGGTTATGACGAAATCTTTAGCCTATTTTCACAAAAACGTCTTTTACGGTGCCGTAACGTAAGATACAAAATAATGGAGCATTTTATGCATTGTCGTGTTTCTTTAGAAATAAATAATGGACAAATGAAGTCTTTGGACGCCTCAGATGTAAAGTTATTCGCTGTCAAAATGAATGGGAGTCAATGGGATGCTAACAGCAGGTGAAGTTCTGCTACAATGGTGGCTCCCACGAGACTTCAATGGATTACCCCCTTGAATACGCATGTGCATGACGTCATGGTCTTTATCGAAGCTTTAATTTCCGGCTGATGGATGACCGAACCCAACCAGACCGAACTTCCCAACCTCAAATGTTGTGGGCGGAGCTAAGTTTGACTGGCATCCAGGCTAATTTACATGGAGATTGTTTTCAAAAACTTGCACTTTGAACCCCATTTTCAAAAGTTTCCGTTTTCAGGCACTCAAAACGCCATTGTCGTGTAAATGAACGGCCAAAACCCATAAAAAATTTTTTTAGTTGAAAATGGTGTTGCATAAACAGCCCGTTAAATACGAACAATTATAATAGCCCTTAGGGTATACCATAGGGAATCAGGATAACACAAAACCACAGAATGATTGACAATATATTGACTTATTATTTAAATTTAGTTAATTTTGGGGAAAAAAGTGACATGGTGTACCATTTAAAATACACAAAGTATAATAAAGTATAAAATATTTCAAAAGTATGCCTATATCTATGCTAATATGAAAGTGTGATAAATTTGTTTATAATCAGGAATATTACGCTTTATTTACATCTATTACAGGTAATTATTGCCAACAGTTAAATAGTTTTACAATCTCTACTTGCAATTACATTTATACTTTGGTGTCTTCAGATTTTGGACCTACTGTGGAGTGACCCCATGTCCCAGGACGGTTGCGTTCCCAACGAGGTCCGTGGCGGAGGTTGTTACTGGGGTCCTGATGTCACCGAGGACTTTCTGAACAGACACAATCTTCAGCTCATCATCCGCTCACACGAGTGCAAGCTGGATGGTTACGAGTTTTGCCACAATCGTAAGGTCAGCAATGCAGTGATCTGAGGACTTGTACAGTCGTTTGAGAAGGAAATAATAATTACTGTCATTTCGGCTGAAGTTTTTATTAAAATATCTGTCAGGCAGGTTCTGAATAGATTAACATGCTCATTTAAAAGGTGATAAATTGTCTTATTTACATTTACATTCATGTACTTATGATGGCTCATGTTAATTTAGAGTGCTTTTTAGGACACTGTGTCCTGTGAGTAATGTATTAATTCTCTAGATGAGCTCGGAGGAAAATTATTCTTTAGTCGCTTTGCCCTTTCATAATTATTATCATAATTTCATAATTATCATTAGCGTTGTCTCAAATGCCTCTGTCGAAAGTCTCAATCTCTTCCTATACCCCCCCCCCCTCGTTTCATATCATTGCTGTGAAACAAATAAGAAAACAAAAGATCCAATTTGTAATTTTTAATATAATATTTCAAATATATATATATATATATTTTAAATCCTAAAATCATTTATCATAATTAAGTCATTGTTTACTTATATTTTAGTTGTCCAGATTGACATGCATCAATCTTTTAGTGCATTTTATTTTTCATCTTAAATGTCTAAATATTTTTGGGGGTCAGTGTATGTTTGTAGAAATGTTCTTGACAGTTTTTAAAGTTGATTTGATTTATGTATTTTGATTTTCAGGTCCTGACCCTTTTTTCAGCCTCTAACTACTATGAGATTGGCAGTAACAGGGGAGCCTTTGTCAGACTGGGTCCAGATCTCATGCCTTACTTTGTTCAGTATCAGGCCACCAGTATGATCCGAGGACTGAACTTTCCACAAAGGTAATCAACACGCATACCATCATCAGCCATTTGACTAAGACAGAAGTTCTCAACCTTTTTAAATCCAAGGTCTCTCATTGTCCACAACAATGTACAAACGACTAATGACCAGTTTTTCATTATTGGACAAGAATTTAGGATAAAGATTTTTTAAAACATACAGTATATTTCTCACATCTTCTACCCTCTAAAATAATTTAGAGATTAGCATCATTTTAGAAAATTTGTTTTAAAAATGCCCATGGAGTTACAGTATAAGATTTGGTTAATTTACATGACTTTTGTAGGTCTATAAATCATACTTTTAAAATTAGGTTAGCTGTTAATGCCGATAGCCTTGTGGGCAGCACGCCAACATATAGCGGCGTTGCGCTTCGATCTCGTCCCCTTCTTTTTCTCCAACCTCGCTTTCGTGTCCACTCTATAATGTCCTGTCATAAGGAAGGATAGTATAATAATAGTATAATAGTATACTATTATAGTATAATAACCAAAATAAATAAAAAACTACCTCATGTACATATCCTGATTCTTCAAAGAAAAATTAAATTGAATTCAAATAAGACTTGACTTAGACTTGATCTTTAGTTGTTGAATGCTTGTTTTGTCTTATTTTGAGTCATTTTAAGTCTTTTATCCTGAGGCCCCTAGCGGCCCTGGTGAACCACTGAACTAGAGGAAGAATTTTCATTCACAATTTCAAATGTGTTAGTTTTTTTATTGGAAAATCCACAGCAGATGTTGTTACAGTCTTTTTGGATACAGTTTATAGTCTTACAGGTTCATTGTCAAGTTTGCAGCTCATTTCTCGATGTTCTTTCAGTGTAAAACGCACAGAGCACACTGCTCTCAAAGTCCTACGAGAGCAACTGTTTGTGCACAAGTCAGATCTTCTCAGTGCCTTTCAAGAGCTTGATAAGGAGAACACAGGTACAGAAAACTATCTGGTATAAAATGCATATTTTAAAACAGTACTGCAGTATTTTGCAACCTAGTGGTGTGATGATATCACTTCCACTAATATCTAAGGAATATAAATTGAGTTCAGACTGTTTGATATTTAAAAACAATGCATTTCTGGTTACTTAATGGCTAGTTTTGCAGTTGTTCAAATGTCAAAGCAATGTAAATGCCATCACAGGACTGATCTGTTTGTCCGACTGGGCCAGTGCAATCGAGCGAGTTCTTCACCTGGATCTGCCCTGGAAAGTTCTTCAGCCTCAGCTAGTGTCCAGCACCACTGATGGGATGCTGGACTACCACGGCTGGTTCCGGGATCTCGGCATAAAAAATCACAGCTCTGAGGTAAAGCAGATCCCTTGATTTAAAGATTTCCAGAAATGTATCTGTAGAACATCCCGAAAGTCTGTAGACACTTGTGCAGAAAGCGCTCTTCTTCTGTTACTCACTATACAGCACATTGAGCAGAGTATGCTGGAGACACTGTATAAACATCGCTCCACCCTGGAGACCATTTTCAGAATAGTGGACACAGATAATTCAGGTATGAAAAAATATTTGCAGGTAATCTTCCAGTGAAAAACAACTTGGTTTGCTATTTCTGTAATGTCACGTGAGTGACGGGTTGTCCCGCCCTCACTCCAGTAACACGTCATCAGAGAAGAGAAATTGTTGCAAGGGGGAGGGGAAGTTATTTTGATTAAAGTTTATAAGCCCACATAAATAATAATACAAAAAATGGGTAACACTTTATTTTAATAGTCCACTTTAGACATTTCACTTACTACATGTCAACTAACTGGCATTAGAGTATTAGTAGACTGTCTGCTTAATATCTGCTAACCCTTTGTTTTGATGGTCCAGAAATTCAACATAAGCAACTACAAATCCTAACCTAACAGTCTACTCTAGTGCAAGTTACTTGACATGTAGATGCAAAGTTACTTATAGATGTTTAAAGTGGACCATATATCATTTATGAATCATTAATAATAAACACTGCATTGCATTTTGATTTCATGGCAGCTTTGACTTTTCCTTGTTGATGACGATTCCTACAGAGAATTAAAGTAGTTGGATGGCTTTCCATAACACCTTCCTATGGCCTATGTTTCTGTTTTTCTCAGGTCTCATCTCTTTTGAGGATTTCCGTCAGACGTTGAAACTGCTCAGTGCCTATCTGAAAATGGAGATCTCTGATGAGGTCATCAATGAGCTCGTCATCAGCACGGACACAAATAATGACGGTAGCATTGACATTGATGAATTCATGGAGGCTTTTCGGCTGGTGGACAAAGGCAGACTTGAGAGAGGTGAAAGTCTATTAAAGTTCAAGCAGGAATATCAGCGACTTCCTCAGGAGGAAGAAACCTCACAAATTGCAGACTCTACTGGCCCGCAGATTTCACAAGGTCCACCTTCACAAACTTCAGGTTCACTTGGTACACACACTGAAGATCTCGGTGACATTTCTGTTGTTGTTCCACCACAATAACTGTTTTCTGTTGAAAAAAAAAAATGAACTGTTGTAAACTGTAGTCTTCCTCTTGGTATTTCACCTTCCGGATGAACCTGTATCTGCTTTTTTAGACTTTGAATCTTCTTCTCTAAACCAAATACACTGTAAAAATGAATATGCTTCATCTAATCAATAGAATTATGGCAACAGATTACAAGCAATATTATTAATTAAAGTTAACAAATTAGAGTTGTTCCTTAAAAGTTAACCATTTCAAATGAGTAAAGTTTACACCAAAAAAAATGTAACAAAAATATCTCACTACAGACAGACGTCCTCTTTATTTTATATTGCCACATTGAAGACATCTGAATCACGGAAGGAGAAAACCGTAATCAAACCTAAAACAAACACCGATCACCATAATGGCGACTTAAATGTATGTTTTTTTGGTTGTTGTTGTAAGTTTTACTCATTTTAAATGGTTAAATTTTAAGGAATTAATTCGATTAATTATTACTCCTAATTTGTTAAATTTAATTAATAAGTTTGCTTGTAATCTGTTGCCACAATTTTTTTGATTAGATAAAGCATGTTCATTTTTATGTCTGTTAGCATCAGGTTTACAACGCACCTGGAAGATCTGTGATCAATCACAAATGTTCTCCATGTTTCCTCAATGTGTTCAGTTGTATTGCAAGCTGCTGATCTCTCAAGGATTCCTACATTTGTTCTTATCTCACTGAAAACTTGATCTTTCAAGATTATGAGGCTTTTCGAGTTTGCCTTCATTGCCTCTGACAAATTTGTTTGCATATTCTGTATGAAAATGAGCCATCAGTATCTTGAATAATACACCATAGCATAACTGTTTCGAAACATAGACCATGTTGTTCATAATGGATTTGCCTGCATAAATGTGCTAAGCATGCAAGTAAAAGGCTAGATAGAGTTTTAAAACTCTTTGCCTGAAACTTGTGTGTTTCAAGAGCTATTTTTTATTAAGAGGCATGTTGACGTTAAGCTTGTGCTATTGCTGGAAATAAAAGATATTGTCCTAGAAAACATACTAGCCAAAAACATCATGACTGATGTTTTCCTCTCTACCTACACGCAGGGAAATGGTTTGGAGGGAGTATACATGGGTGGCTACTTGAAAGTAGTAGTGCTGCAGGGAAGAATATTGGCTAAAACACAGAAACAAGTTAGCATTTTAGGCCCCGTCCACACTACTGCGTTTTGCTACGTTTGCACCTCCCGTCCACACTAAAATGGGAAAAACGAAGACCTAAAACGGAGAAGTTTAGAAACGCTGCAGCTGCGTTTTGCGTTTTGAATCTCCGGAGGGCGTTTTAGTGTGGACGAGACAAAACGGAGGAGTTTACAAACGATGACGCAGAGGCTCACGCTCGGCTCTATGATTGGGTGTCATCAGTCATGACGTATCTTTCCCTGATTCGCCAACCACTGTTTACACCGGCGCGCGCATGCCCAGTGTTGGTGAATGGTCACGTGATCCACGTTTTCAGTCGTTTTAGTGTGGACGGAGATAAATTCTAATACGCAGGTAAAAAGCTAGTGTGGACGGAGATCGTTTTCGTTTTAATTCTCCGTTTTTAAACGAAAACGCAGTAGTGTGGACGGGGCCTTAGAACTTTAGAGCTTCCATCACCATGAAATCAATGGGTTTTTGAATGAGTTTATGATTTAAATGCCTGAAAGAAGGTTTGTGGCTAACAGAAGCTTTTCACATTTTATTCTACGACATAAAATACATCAGTAATAAACCTTCGTGATTTTTTTTAATCTTTTATTGTCTTGGGAAAAGTAGGTTGCTAACAAGTGGCTAATGCTGCTTTCCATTTACCTTCAGGAGCTGGGAATGACGGCACACCCACATCCAGGTGGGAATACACAAAGGCAGTAATGCCAAAATTTCATAGCCACAAAATGGGTTGGATAGTATTGTGTGGATCACTGAGTTTACTGAGACACAGACAAAAACAGAAGTGCTAATAAACAACATTTTACTGTTTAACTACGATTGATGCGCTGAGAGCAGCCATTTTGGATTCTGAAGTCAGGGTTGTCAAGCTGTACCGCGTGAACCATTCTAACGCTTCAAGTAAAACACTCCTCTTGTCTTTAGCTTTTAACTAGGGCTGTGCAAAAATTAATTGCGATTAATCGCATCCAAAATAAAAGTCTGTGTTTACTTAATATATTTGTGTGTGCTGTATATAATTATGTTGTACATATAAATACAAACGCATGCATGTATATATTTAAGAATTATTTGCTCTTAAATTCTGTATACATATATAAATACATAATCTATATTATATAAATATAAATATTTTATATATGAATAACACATTTTCTTAAATATATACATGCATGTGTTTGTATTTATATATACAAAATAATTATATACAGCACACACAAATATATCATGTAAACACAGACTTTTATTTTGGATGCGATTAATCGCAATTAATTTTTGCACAGCCCTACTTTTAACCTTTCGTTTGTAAAGATAATCATTTTTATCAAAACTTGTAAGAAGCTTATTTTCTGCAATGATCTAAAAGCCAATTAAAAAATCCTATTTTATCGAGGAAACTAAGGTGATACTAACTTCTGGTTTGGCCTTCAAAAATACATCATTACTGCAGAACTCTGTACTATTGACATTTGACCTGGATGAAGTATTTAGCTATTCTTTTCTCTTGCTGATGATTCTTGATAACCGTGAGTCACCGCTAGGGGTCGTTACTGCAGTGTATCTGTGTAATTACCTATGGTAACGACTGCATTATCCCTGTCTGCTGGTTCACCCTGGATTCTTTTGTTAACATGGGTTGACTGTGTGGGTGAAAGGCCAGCATAAGTACAGATATCAAAGAGCACTAGTCTTCACATGCCTGGTGTGAGTCACTGCACATCATGAAAAGATGATTTTTTAAGGCTTTGTTAGATCGCCAACTCATAGCTCCCTTTCACATCAGAGATTATCGCTACACTAGTGGTTTCAAAACATTCCTATAGTTGTAGTCAAATGCATTTGTCATGTTAATGGCCAAGACTTTTATGCAACTAGGTTGTTCAAGTGACTTACGCAGAACAAGTTGTTGCTTCATTTAAAGGGAGGGTAGGCAATATCAGACCGGCTAGCAATAGCAAGCTAGCTTTGAAAGCATAAGACCACCCCCCACCCCCCACTTCAGAGTGTCTCCAAAGCCGCGCCTCCTCCAAAACACATAAACTCACACCGCAGAGTTTGCAAAGCATCACTAGACGAAAGACAGCGTGAAATTACCCATGTTTCAAAGCACAGCGCAGTCTCATCCCAAGACGTCATATAACTGATATCTTGGGACGTCTTGTGACCATACGTCAACATACGCCTTTTTAGGGTACCCTTAAATGTCGGTTAGATGACGTTATCGGATCCTAACCCTACCCCAGACCTAAACCTACCCCTAAACCTAACTGAGTTTAAAGGTAAAGCGTCAGTTGTATGACGGCCCGGGATCGTCATGTAACCGACGTTTAAGGGTACCCTAAAAAGGCAGATGTTGACGTATGGTCAAAATACGTTCCAAGACGTCAGTTATATGACTTCTTGGGATGAGACTGTGTTATAAAGCACAGAACAGTACAGTATAGCTGCAAGCAGCAATAAGGGATCTCATGACCTGTAGATGCCGCTGATCAAACTGATCAAACAGATCTCAATCCTTATATTGACTACCAAAGTAGATCTGACTACCATAGTAGATGACATGAGATCTGTTTGATTAAAACATTCTTCCAAATATCTTCATTTGTGTTCAGCAGAACAAATAAACACATAGAGGTTTGGAACAACATGAGGGTGAGTAAATACTGACAGAATTTTCATTTTTGTGTGAACTAACCCTTTAATTAATTTTTTTCTTAATTTAGTTTTATTCTATTTTTTCTCAGTCGCAAAAGTGTGGCTTGCCCACTTCAGGTTGGTGGAGAATTCCAGCCTCAAGTGGAGGAGTTTAATTATGTTAGGGTCTTCTTCATAATTGTTGTTTATGTCTATATGTGATGTTTTTAATATGCTTTAAGACAAACCATATGCATATTCATAAGTCAGCAGCACCATCGCAGAGTATTTTCTCCTTAAAGTGCTGTGACCCAAAGACAGTCTGAAAAACCAAGTTTGAAAAACCAAGTTTGTTTCTGACGTCACAAGCTACCTTGTAACCAATCACGTCAACACGTGGAACTCTGCGCTGGTGTGAGTGATTTGAGGGGGGAGGGGGTAATTTGCATATTCACAACCATTTATAAAATGAGGCAAGGGTGTAGTTACAGAGCCGGCTGCAGAAACAAACCAATGGACGGGCATTTAATATTGGGCCTAATTATGACATCCAATACATTTTTCTATAGGACAAAAACCAACTATTACGCCGATTTCAAGTAGCCTACCAGGCGTAATTTGCGGGTGGGATATGTCCCCACCGTCGATATTGTACCCACCACTTTTGAAACATTCCGGCACGAATGTACCAATACAAATAAACAAAACATCTTCAGTTAACTAGCAGAGCATTCGTTTCGTTCGTTTTTTAAATAAGAGACGATCTAGTGCTGAAATGTGTTTTTAAAATCAACTGTTCAAATTAATGCTCGTTGCCGCTGGCGCGGATAGGCTAATGTGTTTTTTTTTTTCTGGCTTGCGCACAGTCTTCACTCGGACGCGCAATCCGTTGTGGAGAGACTCTATTCATTACGGTGAAATTAAAACACAAAATGTTCTGAAGATGTTTTGTCTGTGCCTGATATACAACCACTGATAAACATAATCAGTTTTGATGGAAAAAAAAAATGTTATTAGAACGGATTAGAACCCAGAATCTCTGGCACGCTTGGCAAAAGTTCTACCCCTGGACCATTATTTACATTCACGTTTAATACAAATATAAAGGCGTAATTGAACGACCACATAAACCTAAATCAATAACTATTTAAATCGATTAAAGGATATCGTAATGTTATTGTACATATCTGTTTTATGATTTAGCATTGTGTCAGGGCTGGTGCAACTTAAGAAGAGTAAAAATAACTGGCCCACTCATGTTCTTAATACAGCTGAAGTCGACGTTTTTGGGAGTGGAATCTCCGCATTAGTTATTCAATACATTATTTTTATTTTTAAAATAAATTTATTTTTAAA